TGTTTACAGAGATGAAGTCCAGCTCAATGACCTGGAGTGAGTCACAGGCAGCTGTTTCCTGTCTGTCACTGTCTCTTGTCTCTGCATATCTGCCTGTGGTAGTTAATTTTATGTGTCAATTTGACTGGGCCATAGAATGCCCAGATATTTGGTCAAACATGGTTCTGGGTGTTTCTGCAAGAGTGTTTGTGGATGGGGTTAACATATACATTGGTAGACTGAAAGCCAATTGCCCTCCCCATGTGGGTAGGCCTCATCTAATCAGTTGAAGGCCTGAATAGAATAAAAATCAGCCAGTTCACAGGTAAGGTGATGCAAATAAACACTCAGCACAGAGCATCATCCAGCTCCAGCCCTTGGGGGCCATCCTCCTGCCTTAAAGCTCCTGCTGTGGATAAAATAGGGATTTGGGGGCAAATCCCCCACTCCAGGGGCTCCCTAGCATAGCAGGGGGAGACACGGAAATAGCAGTCAGGCTCCCAAGTGCAGATCTCAGGGACTGCAGCAACCACATCCAACTCTCATGGCCTCTTCCTGGCCCCACTCACTCTTGGGGCCTCTTGCCCAGCCCCCTTCCTGCTGACCCTCCCCACAAAATCAGGACCGTTCTCTTTCCTGCCATTCAGCAGCAATCTTCTGATGTTTTGTCTCCTCCCAGACCAAGGCTGAAGCCTCAGATATATGCAGTGGTTAAAAGCTTCCATTTGGAATTTCTATCTCTACTAGCTGTGTGACACCAGATCAATCACATAACTTCCCTACGCCTTGGTCTCATGTTCCTCATTTTAAGGTGAGGATTTTGGTTTTGTTTGTTTGTTTTGAGAGTCTTGCTCTGTTGCCAGGCTGGAGTGCAATGACGCGATCTTGGCTCACTGCAATCTCCGCCCCCTGGGTTCAAGCGATTCCCCTGCCTCAGCCTCCCAAGTAGCTGGGACTACAGGGGTGCACCACCATGCCCGGCTAATTTTTTTTTTTTTTTTTTTTGTTTTTTAGAGACTGTGTTTCACCATGTTGGCCAGGCTGGTCTCAATCTCCTGACCTCAGGTGATCCACCTGCCTTGGCCTCCCAAAGTTCTGGGATTACAGGCGTGAGCCACCACAGCTGGTCACCACCACCATTTTTGTTATAAGCAAGCCTGCTCTTTGGGAGATGTTCCCTTATCTCTTAAGGTTGCTGGCTGCAGACACAACCCTGAAGAATGGCAGTCATGGCTATGAATTCTTGGCACACCCAGCAATAACATCCAGCGATGCTTTGGACCCATGGCGGGCTGCCGCTCCTGGCAACTCTGGTCTCCCACCTCTGCTTGTTGAAATTCTATCCGGCCTCCAATGACACCTTGTGGTGAAAGATTCCCCAACCCTCCCCTCACACATACTCTCTTCCTTTCCTTTTGTATTTTCTTAGAACCCTCATCTACACCTCTCTTTTGTGTCCACATTGATCCCTCCCCTACCAGCAGAGTGCAAATGCTTTGAGGGCAGAAATTGGTCCTTTTCATTTCTGCTTTCCACATCCAGATTGTTTGCAGCTAGCAGGTGCCTAGACCCTATTTGTTGAGTTGTACAGAATCAAAATTTTTCTGCATGGTATGCTTTTTCCAGAGAGTCCGCTGGACCGCCCCGTAGAATGTGAAAACATTCCAGAATTCCAGAGGCTAAAAATATCACCCCAAAGCCACTGCAGGCGCTTCCTTGTAAGGCGTGATGTGACTCCTGAGGCTGGAAGTTTATGCCCACCAGGTGACGCTCTAACCCTCAAGTCTCCCAGAGCCTTTTTTAGAAAGGAAGGATTTTGTTCCCTCCCTTTTACAGTTGGTTCACTTAGGTCCCCACTCATATTAATTCCCTGTCACAAGCCCATCACCCAGATTCGTACCCAGCTGCCCATCTGAGCCTGAGCCCTATTCAATACCAGCATCTGGAGGGTTTTGAGGATTCCCTGCCAGGGGACAGACGGATACTAAGGGACGCTGAGGGGAAAGCTCTGAAATTGGGATCTGAAGACCTAGGTTTGAGTCCTAACAGTGACACAAATTGTGTTTCTTTGGGCAAGTCGCTTATCCTTTCTGGGTCCCTGTGAGTGTAGCCGAGAATAAAATGTGGAAATTATATAAACATACTTTGAATGTGGTGTGGGGTCAGCTCCCCTGGGCTGGTATTTGAGCTGTCACCGCCTTCCTGTGAACATGATCAGCTTCTGGAGTGCAGTGGCACAATCTCAGCTCACTGCCACCTCTGCCTCCTGGGTTCAAGCAATTCTCCTGCCTCCCAAGTAGCTGGGATTATAGGTGTGCACCACCACGCCTGGCTAATTTTTGTATTTTTAGTAGAGATGGGGTTTCACCATGTTGGCCAGGCTGGTCTCAAACTGCTGACCTCAGGTGATCTGTCCACCTCGGCCTCCCAAAGTTCTGGGATTACAGGCATGAGCCACCACGCCCAGCTTAAATGTTTTATTTTTTATTTTATTTTATTTATTTTTGAGACAGATTCTTGCTCTGTGTCACCCAGGCTAGAGGGCAGTGGCACTATCTCAGCTCACTGCAATCTCTGCCTCCTGGATTCAAGTGATTCTCCTGCCTCAGCCTCCCAAGTAGCTGGGATTAGAGGTGCCCGCCACTGAACCTAGCTAATTTTTGTTTTTTTTTAGTAGACAGGGTTTCATCATCTTGGCCAGGCTGCTCTCGAACTCCTCACCTCATGATCCACCTACCGTGGCCTCCCAGTGTTGCGATTACTAGCATAAGCCACGGCGCCCAAAGGTAAGCTTCTTTAACCCTGTAAGCCCTGGTTTCCCCATCAGCAAATCGGAGCTATTAATCATTTTATGGGTTGATGCAAGGATCAAGTTAAACAACAAATATAAAGTGCTCATCATAGTGCCTAGAATATAGTAAGCATTCAATTAATAAAAATCACATGTATATTATGAATCCCTTGCTCTTAAAACAGTGCCCAGCATTTAATAGGTGCTCAATATCTATTTGCTGGTAACAGGATTTTACAGATGAGTAAACTGAGGCAAAAAGAGCTCAAGCCACCCTCCCTCTACGCCCCAGCACTAAGGAGTAGTGAGGCAATGATCCACAGCCAGGCAGTCGGACTCCAGGACCTGCACCCTAAGCCTCTACACCATGCTGTTGCACACAGACAGAGGTGTCATACATCACCATTTGTTCATTTAAAATATGCATTCAGGCCTGTAATCCCAGCACTTTGGGAGGCTGAGGCAGGCGGATCACATGAGGTCAGGAGTTCGAGACCAGTCTGGTCAACGTGGTGAAACCCTGTCTCTACTAAAAACACACAAAATTAGCCAGGTATGATGGCGCACACCAGTAGTCCCAGCCACTCAGGAGGCTGAGGCAGGAGAATCACTTGAACTCAAGAGGCAGAGGTTGCAGTGAGCCGAGATCACGCCACTGCACTCCAGCCTGGAGACAGAGTGAGACTTTTTCTCTCTCTAGATCTATCAATCAATCAATCAATCAATCATCTATCTATCTATCTATCTATGCAGTGGCTCATGCCTGTAATCCCTACACTTCAAGAGGCTGAGGAGGGAGGATCGCTTGAGCCCAGGAGTTTAAGACTAGCCTGGGCAAGATAGCAAGCTTCCATTTCTCTCTCTTTTTTTTAATGCATTCAGAGCCTTCTCCAAGTGGGCTGAATTGGCAGTGAGAGGCATTACCCGCTCAGGAACCACATAGCTTTTCTCTCCCCAGGGGAGCCAGCCTGCTGGAAGAGGACCTGCTCATCCAGGCCAGAGGACAGAGGACTCAAGACCAGGAGATGAAGACTAGCTCTGCAGCATGAGGTCAGCTGTAGGTCTGAGGCATGCACAGTCCCCAGGGTAAGAGGGGCCCTCTCAGTTCCATTGCTGCCCCTGCAGCCACTCAGTCATCTGTTCCACAAATATTTACTGAGCGTCTCCTATGTGCCAGGCACAGGCAAAGATGGATAAGACATGATATCCAATAGTTATTATGTAGCTGGCTCAGAACTGCTGCAGACAGATGGTCCAAGTGGGGGCCTAGAAGAGCAGCCTCAGAGGCTGGACCAAAAGGAGGCAGCATTTAAATTGGGCCTTGAAGGGTAAACAGGAGTTTTGCTGTCAGGTGGGGTCTGGAAATGCAGGGCATTCTGAGCTTATCTGGAAAATTTGAAAGGATTGGTGGGGTTGGTATGCTGGGTGGCAGCATGGGAAAGGGACGGAAGTGGCAAGCCAGGAAGCCGGAAATTGGTTGGGGACAGATTGTGAAATAGGGCACAGAGAAGAGACAGCCTCTGTCCTGTCTCAGTGGGGGAAGCAGTGAAATGAACAACCAGGTCTATGTTTTAGAAAGATGTCTTGAGCCTGGCGCGGTGGTTCACGCCTGTAATCCCAGCACTTTGGGAGCCAAAGGGTTTGTGTCCCGGTCATGTTGGGTAGTGTATTTTTAATCTGGGCAAGACGGGAGGATGACAAGGAAGGCGGTGGATAAAAGAGTGTAGGGATGATAAGCTTGTGCCGAGTGGAACCAGTGGCGGTGCCTCTGGTGGATGATGGACTCTTACTCTGAGACTGGGAACTTGGACAACTTTGGACAGGACGAGACGGGCCCTGGCAGGAGACTGCCTACGTCCAGGCGACAGCGGATGTCAGTTCAAAATCAGCACTGCTGAAGAGCCCGGAGGCCCGGGGTGGGTGCTATGGCAGGAGAGAGGGGAAAGGAGGAGGCAGGGCGGGTAGGGGTGGCCCCAGATGTGGCAAACGGCTCAGCAGCGCGCGTGCGGGCAGGGCTGAAGCCCGCGTCGGGCTGGGGGATGCGCCCCGCCCTGGCCCGAGGACGAAGGAATTCAAGCTGGGGGCCTGGCGCAGAGGGGAAAGGGGGGCGCCAGGGTGGTGAGGCAGACGGAAAGAGAGATGGCAGGAAGCCGGGAGGAGCGCGCGGGGGAGGAGACCGCCGAGGGGAAGGGAAAGGGGCGGGTTGGAGGGCTGGAGAGTGGCAGAGGGAAGGCGTGGAGGGCCGAGGGGAGGAGAGAGGAGAGGAAGGGTGGGGAGAGGAGGAAAAGAGAGGACTAGGAGGGGAGCACGGCGAGGAGGCTGCGGCGGGCGCAGCGGGCACCTGGGCCAGGCCGCCCCGACGAGCAAGGCGCCGCCATTCCGCTGCTCGGGGCGCCGCCGCCGCCGCCGCCGCGCCCGGGGGCCATGCTCCCGCCGCCCCCGCGCCAGCCGCCGCCCCAGGCGCGTGCGGCCCGCGGCTCGGTGCGCCTGCAGCGGCCCTTCCTGCGCAGTCCCCTGGGCGTGCTGCGGGTGCTGCAGCTGCTGGCCGGCGCCGCCTTCTGGATCACTATCGCCACCAGCAAGTACCAGGGCCCCGTGCACTTCGCGCTGTTCGTGTCCGTGCTGTTCTGGCTGCTCACCCTGGGCCTCTACTTCCTCACGCTGCTGGGCAAGCACGAGCTGGTCCCCGTGCTGGGCTCGCGCTGGCTTCTGGTCAACGTGGCGCACGACGTGCTGGCGGCCGCGCTATACGGCGCCGCGACCGGCATCATGAGCGACCAGATGCAGCGCCACAGCTACTGCAACCTCAAGGATTACCCGCTGCCCTGCGCCTACCACGCCTTCCTGGCGGCCGCCGTCTGCGGCGGCGTCTGCCACGGCCTCTACCTGCTCTCGGCGCTCTACGGCTGCGGCCGTCGCTGCCAGGGCAAGCAGGAGGTGGTGTGAGGCCGCCCGCGCCCGCCGCGGTCCGGATCGGGGCAGGGGACCCCCCGGAGACCAGCGCCCCCAGTCCCTGCCGCCGACCCGCGCGGGTGCGCCCTGGCACCCTCCCCCTCCCCTCCAGCGTTTCCACTGTCGCCCGCGCCCAGGGACCCTGACGCGCAGCTCCCGCCCGACTGCATCGCCGCGGTTGCCGCCGCCCGGAATCCCGAACGCCGCGCCGGACGCGCCGTCTCCAGGGACCAGCGCAGGGCTGCGATCCGAGGGGCGGACGCACGCTCGCAGACTAGCCGCCCCAAGGCCAAACCTCGCGGTTCCAATTCCCTTCCCTGCCGAGACTAAGACGTGGACAGGCGCCGCGTAGATCCGGGGGAGGCTCCCAAATTGGATCCAGGCTTCTGGCTGCCCCCTTCCCTCCCACCCCGCGGTCGGAAGCGCACCCCCTTCCCAGGCCCCTTGTCCAGCCTCCCGTGCTGTAAAGCGCAGGAGCTGGGCCGCGGGCGGAGCTGAGAACAGGCCTTGGCTGATCCCAAGATGACCGACGAGTTTGTTTTTAGCTTGGGATTGTGCGGGCGTCCTGCGAAGCCCCTCCCAGCCTGTCTCTCGGTGGTGGGATGCGTTGGGGTGGGGCCCATCCGCCAAGGTGGATGGGAGGAGCCGGTGGGCTGTACCCTTACACTTGTGGAGTCTCCTCTTGCCTCTGCCTACTCTGCCTTTGTCCTTCAAGTTTTTTGCAGGCCAGTCCCAAACACACGCTAACCGTCCTGGCCTCTCCGTGACACAAGTGTCTTCCCAGCCTTCCTTACCTGCTTCTGCCGCCCCTCTCATCTCCCCCCATATCTGTTTGCATTAGGAGTCCCACAACCATGGCGGAATATTAAGGTGAACCCCACCCCTTCTTACAGATGGGGACCCAGAGCCTGTTCTTGGGAACAGCCAGAGTAAGATTAAAATCAGAACTCGCAGTCCAGCGCTGTTTGCATTAAAAGGGTGGGTGAGTCAGGACCCCTGGCTCAGGAGCCGCCTCCCTCGAAAAGAGGGTTTCAAGGCCAAGTTAGTTTGTCAACGGTGCTGTCTTCCCTTCTTGGAGATGCTCATTAGCTTATCAAAGACTCTGAGAAGTTTCCCTGTTACAGAATTAATTTAGTTTACTGTATTAGCTGCTCCTGGGCCTGGAGCAGTATTCCTGCCTGGAAGTTCCCAGCAGTCCTGTGCTGTCCCGGCTCTCATTCATGCCTAAGGGCTCAACCCATTGCTTGTGTTCTGTTTGAAGATTTGGGGGAGCCCCTTCTCTTTCTCTTCCCCAGGGAGTTTCTCTAGCAGAGGGAGGGGACCCACCCCAGAGAGGAAGGAGATTGCTGCCCCTAGCCAGAGACCTGAACTGGGGAATATGAACATTCCTTGACGTTGTTGGAGAAATGAAGCCAAAGTTATTGGGATGGTTTTCCCAGTCTAAAGGAAAGTCACCTGCAAGAGATCCTGGCGCCGACCTGCAGCAGCTGGCAGGGTGGGTCTCACTTACCAAAGAGAAGAACCGCTCTCTGGCGCTGGGGTGACCTGCTGGCTGGGCCTGTAAGGTAAGATGCTTCTTGGTTTTCTGGAAGGGGTCATGGTCATTTGAATAAAAAGCACAGAGCCTATTTATTTTCCAAAAGTTAAACGGTTTTTATTCAGAGCAAATTGGAGAGGTGACAGTAATAATCACAATATCTTCAGAGTTGTGAAAATTCAACCTTTTTTTTACTAAATCCTTCAATGGTCTGCTCTTTTATTTTTTCTTTCTTTTTTGTTTTGTTTTGAGACAGTCCACACCAGGCTGGAGTGCAGTGGTGTGATTATGGCTCACTATAGTCTTGACCTGGGCTCAAGCAATCCTCTCACCTCAGCCTCCCAGGGAGCTGGGACTACAGGCACCTGCCACCATGCCTGGCTAATTTAAAAAATTTTTTAGAGACAGGGCCCCATTATATTTTGCATGCTGGTCCTAAACTCCTGGGATCAAGAGATCCTCCTGTCTCAGCCTCCCAAAGTGTTGGGATTACAGGTGTGAGCCACTGTGCCTGGCCAGGTCTGCTGTTTGGAAAGGCTCACCTCTGGATTAGAAACTAGAAGAGGGGAAGAGGCCATGTGTTTTTGTGAGCTTGTTTTTAAACCTTAGGTGCACAAGTGTTTGATTTCTCTGCGGAGGTTGTGAAGGTGTAGTTTCAGGGTGTGTAAAGCATGGATGTAGTTCTAGGTCTGTTGCCATCAGAGCACCTATGTAGCTCTAACTATGTGATTGGCACATCTCAAAGCATTTTATAGGTGTCCATTGATTCTCTCAATAACCCTATTGAGGTGAGTTCTAATGTCATTTCCATATTCCTAATGAGGAAAATGAGTCCCAGAGAGGTTAAATACCTTGCCCAAGGTCTCCCAGCTAGTGAGTGGTAGAGGTAGGATTCGAACCCTGGCAGTCTGGCCTCTTCATGACCAGGCTATACTCTATATAGTAGGGTATCAATATGTGTTAGGTACTGTTAATGTGGCTATTTTTAAAATTGTGGTAAAATATACATACAATTTACCATCTTAACCATTTTTAAGTGTGTAGTTCAGTGGCAAAAGGAACATTCACAGCTGCATGCAGTGGCTCAGGCCTGTAATGCCAGCACTCTGGGAGGCTGAGGCTTGAGACTAGGAGTTTGAGACTAGCCTTGGCAACACAGCAAGATCCTGTTTCTACAAAAAGTTTTTTAAAATTAGCTGAGTGTGGTGGTGTGTGCCTGGGATTCCAGCTACATAGGAGGCTGAAGTGGTGATCGTTTGAGCCCAGGTGGTTGAGGCTGCAGTGAGCTGTGTTCCTGCCACTGCACTCCAGCCTGGGTAACAGAGAGACTGTCTCAAAAAGAAAGAAAGAAAGAAAGAGAGAAAGAGAGAAAGAGAGAAAGAGAGAGAGAGAGAGAGAGAGAAAGAAAAGAAAAGAAAGAAAGGAAAGAAAGAAAGAAAAAGAAAGAAAGAAAGAAAAGAAAAGAAAAGAACATTCACATTGTTATGCAGCCATCATCGCTACCATCCATCTTCAGAACTTTTCTTATCTTGTAAAACTGAAACTCTGTACCCAGTAAAATTGTCGGGGTTTTTTGTTTTTTGTTTTTTTGTATGTGAGATGGAGTCCCCGCTCTGTCACCTAGGCTGGAGTGCAATGGTGTGATCTCGGCTCACTGCAACCTCCGCCTCCCGGGTTCAAACCACTCTCTTGCCTCAGCCTCCCAAGTAGCTGGGACTACAGGCACACACCACTATGCCCAGCTAATTTTTATATTTTAAGTAGAGACAAAGTTTCACCATGTTGGCTAGGCTGGTCTTGAACTCCTGACCTCAAATGATCCACATGCCTCAGCCTCCCAAAGTGCTTGGATTATAGGTGTGAACCACCACACCCAGCCAGACTGTGGTAATTTTTGTTGTTTCTTTCTCTCCTCTGGGAAATTCTGGAACACTGAGCCCCAAGTCTCCTGAGTCCTTCAATGTCTCAGTTAGGCCGGGTCCGACTGCCAAGCTCTAGGAAGGGTAAAATTCCCTCAGCCCCAGCTGCTGGTGCAGCGAGAGCTTGCGGTGAGACATTTGGGGTGCCTTGGAAGCCCACTGACTTTGGTTCTCCTGTTGCAGGTTTCCATGTTGCTGAGGCCACAGAGAATACCAGAGCTGGTCACACCGACCTCTCCCAGGGCCTGCTGCCCTGGGCTGGCAACACCGTTCTGGCCTGGGCCTGCAGAAGATTTCAGAGTCTTCACTGGCAGTAGCAGGAGGTGGGGAGAGAAATGACCTCTGCCTAGTAGTTTCCTTTCCGCATCATGCAATGGAAGATCCCAGATGGGTGAAGATTGATTTTGCCTTAACTCAAGAGAATTCCTGTTCTCCTTGTGCTATGGTTTGGACACAAGATTCTGGACACCTGGAACTTAGCTGTATACTCCTGTACCCTAAACAATGGGTTTGACTTCAGCCTTTATTCTTTTTTTCTTTTTTCAGATCACCATCTAAGTTATACTTTTAGCTCAGGTCCAGCCTTCTCAAGATCTCCCTCTTAGCCCCCCAGCCCCTGGTGCTGTCTGTGGTCAGGTGACCTTACTCAGGAGCAGATATCTCCTTGGCCGCCATGGAGCCTCATCCATCCACACATGCCTGTAGCATTCCAGAGCTCACTGCTCTTAGATGTGCCTTCCCACTGGGCTTCCAGCAGCTCTGTGCTCCCTTTGTCTGCCAGGTATGAGAAGGACATGTAAGACCGCTACCACACTCACCCTCCCTCAAGGCCCTGTGCCATAGGGGTGGCCACCTGACCTGCCCCCAGAACTTTTGGATAGTGGAGGCAGTCACATAAGCCTCCCTCTTTGGACACCAGGACTCAGTCCAGCCCAAGACCACTCTGGGCAGCTCCCATCCTGGTCTGGGGCCATTTGCAGACTCAGGACAGGATTTCTACAGTGTTCTATAAAAGCCAAGAGAAAGTGGGTTTGGGAAGAATGAGGGTGGCTGGGGAGAGGGGACTGATGTGCCTCATTATTTAGTGGTGATTCTTCATATGCTTTTCTGGATAAAGTTTGGTTGTCTGCTCTTGGTGTGTGTGTCTTCTGTCCTGGTCCTCTGCAGTATCCCTCCATGTGAGGTCCTCCCAGTCCATCTCATTGAGCCTCACACCCTGCTGCTGGCATCGTTTCTGCCTCTCTGGCTTCCTGTTTACCTTTAGGAGGGAAAGAGTGAGTTCACAGATCTCCAGTGCAGTTAGGAGCCTGGACCAGGGGTTGTCTGAGGGCAGAAACCAGAGGGAAGAAAACTGCCTGTGTCCCTGGTGGAGGTGGGAGGGAGTTCCAGAGGCTTTTGTCCCTGCTCTCAATGGGCCCTCTGTTAGGGAGCTTCGTTGCCTCTCATTCTGGGCACAGAAAGACTGTGGTTGCAGCCAGAGGGTCCTGTTCTAGTCCAACCCCATCATTTTACAGAAGGCGAAACGAAGTCCAGGGCGAGGTGGCAACCCGCCTGATGCTACACAGCTGATTAGGGGCAGAGCTGGGGTCTCCCGTAGCCCAGGCCCTGTGTTTTTCCCTCCACACTACTGTGGCCTGCTCTGGTGTTGCCTCATGGACCACGCCCCACCTGTATTTCCCTCGTTTCCCCACAGATTCTTTGCCCAGCGAGTTGCTGCCTGCTGACGGATGCCCTGGAAAGGGTGTGAGGCAGAGTTAAGAGGCTTCCTCCCAGGTTCCTCCTCCCTGTGCCCCGGGCCTGACATCTGCAGCCAGGAAACAGGATTCTGCTAGAAGATTTCAAAACTCACCTGGAATAACTCCAGGGTGGGATCTCATGCCATGTGTGTCTGCCACACCCACTGTCTTCCAAAGAGCCTTTCCAATGCCTGCCTGCACAAACATACACACAGGCACGCACACCCTCTTCATGATTTGGTTTGTGATTGGAGAGTGGGTGGAGGTAAATACCATCAGCTGTGAGGCCGCTCCCGTCCCTTCCTCTTCCCTCTTCTGTTTGTGAATTTTGGGCAAAGTAAAAAGTGGCTCTGCTTTCCACAAAGGCTGGTAAGCCCCTGCTCTACTGTATTTTAGCAGTGGAGCGTTTTGCAGTTGAAATATGCTTCTACCTGCATTACCCTATTTGATCTTCCCTGTAGTCTTGTTTTTTCCAGATGGAGTCTCTGTCATTCAAGCTGTAATGCAATGGCGCCATCTCAGCTCACTGCAACCTCCATCTCCTAGGTTCAAGCAATTCTCCTGCCTCTGCCTTCTGAGTAGCTGGGACTACAGGTGTGCATTACCACACCCTGCCAATTTTTGTATTTTTAGTAGAGACGGGGTTTCATTACATTGGCCAGGCTGGCCTCAAACTCCTGATCTCAGATGGTCCACCCGCCTCGGCCTCCCAAAGTGCTGGGATTACAGGTGTGAGCCACTGCCCCCAGCCCCTTCCCAGTAATCTTATAGGTTGGCACTGTTGCCCGCCTCCCACACCTCCCACCCTGTTCAATAGAGGAGTTGGAGCCCAGAGAATGGAAAGGCCATGGTCATACAGCTGGCTAGTGGCGGGGCAGGGACTGGAAGGCAGAGGTTGCTTTAAGCCCTGTGGTCCTTTGGCAGGCTCTAAAGCTTAGTGAGAGGTTGGTTTTCCTTCCAGGAGACCAGGTATTTAGGAATGGCCTAATCTGGCATTTCCTGCTTAATGGAGTTTGAAATAAGACACTGCTCCTCAGGGACATAATGAACACCTTTGACAGGGGTTTTTGTCTGTTACTTCTCCTGCTTTTCTACGGATGGAGGTGGGGTGGTCAGTGGTAAAAAATGAGAATTAATAAGTGAACATTTTCAGGGATAAAAGGAAAAAGGAATATGAGAGAAAAGTTTGGTTAGCATTATTTACATGTTTTTTGTTTGGTCACAATAGCTATTTGTAAAATAAAGTAGTAATATATATCCATGAAAATATAATACTGGCCAGGTGCGGTGGCTCAAGCCTGTAATCCCAGCACTTTGGGAGGCCGAGGCGGGTGGATCACGAGGTCAAGAGATCGAGACCATCCTGGTCAACA